GCAATTCACATAAGGTAAAATTTGGCGCTGACAGATTTTGCATGGCAGCTTAACACCGTGAGAAAAAAGATGATGGTAACGAATTCGAACTTATACCTCAATTTTTGTAGAACTACTTGCATGAAAGACCAGTACTACTACTTAGCATCAAACATCCATGGGAAAAGCTGTGCAAAGAACGTGTGATCGCACCTGCAGGCCGCCACTTTTTTATCTGTTTTTATGTTAGCAGTCCAGCAGAACAGTGCGTTCCCTGTTTTTGTTTGCTCTGATTATGCTATGTCGTTAAGCATGCACAGCTTTGTAGGTTTGCTCGGTGGAAGGCGACGAGCTGCCACCACAACTTCCACAGCGTACACTCGATACAGATGAAGCGGATAGACGTGGTATCGATTTGGGAACTAGTGGACGTCTGCATCTAATGGCTAAATTAGCCGAAGGTCGGAAATTTCTTAAAATTCCCTGTTCTTAGGCACTACCCTTTTCATAGGGGAAAGATGGCGCATTTTTGCGATTAGTGTATGATGCGATTGTACCGATTACATCTCAAAGGCTGTTGCTATCTTTTGAGAGAAGTTTATTTCATTGAGCTCTCGTTTCTGTACGGTGAGATGCCTACATACATACCATCAGTACAGTTGGCAATTTTCTCATAGGTGGAAAAAGTATGGAATAAAAGTTACATTGTTCCTCTTCTAAAAAGTTTCCTCCTTCAGTTTTTGCATATTTAATTTTGTAGCGTCTGGATTTAACCGTTTGTTACAGGAAGTGGTTTGGAATTGCCAAAAAGTGCCAAAGAAATGCTGGCGCAGAATCAGCAGCAGTTGGAAGGCGTCACAGTTGGGGGCACACCTATTCCACCGATCGCCACACAATGCTTCATGCTTTCCAATATGTTTGATCCAACACAGTAATTATTACATTTCATTGTGCTGCCCTTTTTTTTTTCTTTCGAAGGCTGATGTAGAATTTGATGGAAAAATCTGGCATATAACAGCTGAACTGCAATTATCACCTCTCCGGAAGTAGTTAGATTGGTTGCAAGTGCCAGCTCTAATAACGGTTCGTAAGTCTGTTGATGGCTTCCTTCATGTGTTGCTTCGAAGCAATTAGGACAGAGAAAGTTGATTCCTTTTCATGCGCCTGTACCAGTTTTACTACGAAAACGAACGAACGAATCGTTGAGGGGCTGGGTTGTCGCACTGGCGAAGTCGAACCTTCGTCCTCATGCGCGCTGGCGACGATTTTTGCCAATACACTATGTCCGGCGGCGAGTGGTTGCTAATTTATTTCGTGACAGTTTCAATCTTTGACTGTTACATATAGGAATAAAAGTGCCAGATTTACTTGCCCGAATGATAAATCAGGGAAAATCAAAAAATTGAGTGGCTTTTACTCACATTACTCGGATGAGCAGAAAAAAATACCTGCAAAGCATGGCTTTTTTTTGCAGAGAGACGGGTGATACTTGGGCCGATGAGGTGCGCGATGATGTTATCGAGGAATGTGCCAAAAATGGAGGTAACACTGTTTTAGCGCAGACACTGTGAATTTATGTGCCAAAATTAAGCACTTTGTTTGAGGGCGCTTGATTTCAGGAGTGCTGCACATTTTTGTGGACAAGGCCTCTCCGCATGGCAATGTTTATGTGAAGTGCCCTTCAGTTGCAGTTGCATACAAGTCGGTGAATGCGCTACATGGCCGATGGTTTTCAGGTATTTTGTAATTTGTGTAATTGAAATAAACACTCTCTTGCGGCCTTTCCAGCTCTTAGTACATGAAGACACGTTTTATTTTAGTTTTGACTCGCCGCTTAGCGCCTTTCTCGCTTTCAAACCGCATTTATGTAAATTTAGTATTTTTTGAGTCTTAGCGTCAGTTGTAGTGGATGTAGCTCTTTTTTTCTCAGTTTTTATTCGATAGGTCCTAGTTATTTCGTACCTCACTCCTCAAGTTCTGCACTTCTTTGGTCAAAATTTGGGTTCTTATGAATTTTTTCTCATTTTCTTCCCGTGCAGGCAGTTTTAGCAGTACTTGGTGAAGAGAGAATTGAAGGGCCGACCTTTTTTTAATGTTTAAGTGAATTTTTTTCTTAGCAGTATTTATTTTTTTAAGGTTTTTCCTCGTCACAGTCATTTCGACATTTGGATATAGGTTTTGATACCAAAATACTAATATCTGTAAAATATAGCGCAGATAACTGTCATTTTTTTTTATAGGCAAAGTAATCACAGCCAATTATGTTCCGGTAGCTAGCTATTCGCAGTTGTTTCCCGATTCAGTAACTGCTCGAGGGCCGCTGCTTCCACCCACGAAGCCACCTCCAACAGCCGGAATTCCTGGCGGTGCGGAGTACTGAAAGGAAGAACACCGAATATTGTTGCTCTTTGAATGATTTTTCATTGTTCATATTGCTTTTTATTCTTTCCCATGCTGTTGTGTAACAGCCGACTTATTTATAGTTTTTGTATTTTCATCACTGTAATTTTTCGCACCCTCGTACAAGTGAGGCGGTTGAGCAGCAGCATATTTTGTTCTCTTGTAAATTCCGTCAAGTTTCTTTTTGTGGCTCTTTAACGATTCGCGTTGGTTATTTTTCTTTATTTTGAATTTAGCGAAATCCAGGAAAGACGATGATTAATGCTTGCGGATCCATTCGTCAGTTGATTTCTCTTATTCCCTTCAGGGCTGTTAATAAATTAAACGTGAGGCGCTATGAACTACCATACGCATACGTACGTGGATCAGCCAGT